GTGTGTGTCCAAGAATTACTCTGCTAGCTCAGTGATATTATGAGGGAAATACAAGTCCCTGTAACATGAATCATTACATTTTAAGGTGAAGTTTGGTGTAGGTTTAGATTTGGGCTTAGGTTTAGGTTTTGTGCGTGTGTGTGTGTGTGTGTGTCTTTGTGTAAAATTACTGACCCACTCCCACTGTGATTAAAAGGTCAGGGTCCTGTTCTTGACAGTCTGTGGATAATTCAGAATTTAGAGGTCAAAGGTCACTCTACACACCCCAAACCTTCAGATTTATACGTGCAGGAGACGACAGCACGTCAGATAAATCAAAACATATTCTTATTCTTTCTTAAAATAGAAATAAACCGCTCATCACGTCTACAGATCTTCAGTAGACAATGAAATACAGTAGAGATTTGTAGTTTCATCTCACCCACAATGCATCATGGCAAAATCACCTCACAGTCAATTTTCACATGGAAGATAACAAAGATAATCTCAAACATCTTTTACTAACATGACGAGGATTCAGGGGCATTAGACATGTTGTTCAATGCACAATATCTTAAACTTTATTCAAAGTTAAAATTCCCCTTTGGCAGCAGATCTGTGGCATTGAAGTTCCCTGTTGCAGTAGATTAGACACAAAAAAACCTTTGGATATGTGACACTTCCCGCTCTGTGGAGGCAGCTTTTCTCAGCTTTGGTGCTTATCCAATGTGGCTGGAGCAGCTGTGTTTGGACAAGGAATTCTCTGAGTATCTGGCTGCAGTGAAACAGCAGAACAGTTCTGTAAATGACGTCTCTCTCATTCTCTGTCTCTGTGTGTTTCTCTCTCTCCACCACAGGAGAGACAAACCCAGTAACTGATTCGGGTCAAATGAAAATTTGTTTAAGGATAATGTCAAATAAAAAAATGTCTTACACAGGTTTCAACTTGACTTTACACCTTAAAANAAATAAAAGCAGATCGATAAAATGAGATTAAAGCAAATTGATGAAGCTTCCAAAATGGTATGATATTTCATAATCTGAAGTTACAGTAAGCGAAAGTTGCCTCCTAAATCACAAGCACAGTTTCTGCTATCTCTCGATCAGAGGGACCCACTCACTCTAAATACTGGGTTCACCCTTCAACTGTCCAATCAGAAGCCTTCATCAGACGTCCCATCTCTGAGCTCTATATCACAACCACCAGCGTCCCGGGGCAAATGTCCTTATATCCAAAGTAGTTAACTCACAGGACTGCTGCCATCGCGTTCCACTTCCCGCTGTCTATCTATTCCTCTGTTCACAGTTAATTTAATTTAAAGTCTCGCTTGATTGAACTGTAATTCTCTTAACCGTATGGTAAAATGTTTTTTCTCAAAGGGCCACTAAGAAAAACAGACACAACAGTTATTTCTAACTAATGTCAGGACAGCCGACAGTATCCCTCAATGGGATAAAATAACTATACTAAAGCTGAAGTAAATACTAATGCATTTTCTTTTCCAGAAAAAGTTGGTGACAAATGAGATGAGTGGGGTAAAAGTGCAGGGAGAGAGGAAAATGAGGATAGATGAAAGATGAGTGCACGAGTCCAAGAGTCACGTAAGGAGAAGACAGTGAAAGACAGAAAAAAGAGAAAGTGATGAAGGAGGAGGCAGTAATGAGAAGGGGGAGGAAAGAGTGATGAGGGAAAGCAGATGGAGTGTCAGAAAAAATGAGAGGGAGAGAGTGATGGAAAGAGAGGAAGACTGACGGCAACGATGAGGAGAGAGATAAAAACGAAGAAGGACTGTTCATCTTTCTGCTCCTACACCTCCATCCTGATCTGTGAGTAGAGTACACACACAGAGTTGGGCATATATGACGTGCATGTGTACTTGCATGACAGCTGAAAAGGGTTCATTTTCTCTAAAAAAACATAAACCAGTCTGTGTCCTTGACCCTGAATTTTTCTCGCCTCTTTGTTTGACCCCTCCCGTCATCACATCTGTCAAAACAGCTGTCTCAGGTGGACAGAGGTGACGCTGTGGCTGAAAAACACATAAACATGGTAAAGGAAGAGAGGTATATGAAAAGAGAGGGTGGAAAACAGCATCCAGGATTGTGGGAAAAAAATATTAAAACTGTTGCAGCTAAGTTCATTTTATGTACGACAAAGCTTAGCTTGATTAATAGTAATAATAATAATAATAATAACAATAATAGTAGTGATTCCTTTGACAGACACAGGTAATCTAAAAAA